TATGACTACCCCTTCTCCACTTTTTTTTATGAGTATAATTGTGTTATTGCCTCTTCACACATTGAGGGAAAACCACCTCACTGCCCTTACTTGGAGGTTTGGGGATACCTTCAACTGCATAATTACTTGCTCTCAATCCCTCACAAGGATATATTTGACGACCTTTGGCATCTTTTGAGGACATCTGTGGTGATCGAGCAGGCTCTCTATGTCACACTACTGGCTTAGCCCTACTGATCTGGAGCACCCTGCCTATTGTTCCCAATGGGAAAAAGACCTAGATAGTCAACTTTCTGGCTTTCATCTTTTTTAAACATAGAGCCTCTCTCTCTAGCAGGCTCCAAGAATCCAGATATAAACTGTTTTCCTGTTGGTATTACACCCTGGTTCAACTTCATAAAATCTACTCAATCTCCAGCCAACCGTGTTAGCGTTCTTCTGGTCCTTCTTCCTACTGGATTTTTCTTGACGAGGGGTCAACTCATTCACGACTTCACTGCCCCATGATCCACTTTTTTTTTCTTCTGCATATGAATGACATGTACCTGTACAAATATAGGAAGTCCCTACTTATCCAATTAGTCATTGCTGCCAAATTGATTATCCCGAAGTTCTGAAAACAAGCTTACTAGATGGGATTAGCGTCGAGAATGCAATTAGATTTGTGACATAAAATATCTCACTTCCTCTCTCCATAACAGAACAGAAAAATGTTATGCCATGTGGACCAATTTGCTGCTGCGGAGCTACTTAGACGTCTATGACCAGCATGTGGCAGAAACATAATATTTCAAAATCTCCTGCCGCATCTCATAGGTGACCTGGTCTCTCGGGGTGAGTCTTCTTTTTCTTTTCTTTCTATTTCTTTACCTTTGTTTGGTTTTTGGTTTGCCAATTTCAATTATGTCTGCTGTGCCCTGTGTGATGAGGTCATCAAGTGTGATCTGAGGTTTTGCAAGGTTTCTTTGGTAAGCCTGCTAGAGAGGCATATGGATAGAGAGACAGAGAAAAGTGGATATCTATTTACAGAGCACAAACTGTAAGTTACTGCAGCTTTCCTTCACTGAGACATGCTACTCTATAAGGACTGTATAATGTCTTAACCTCCCTCGTGGTATTCCCGAGTGTGGCTCGGGGTTCATTTTCAGTACCATAAGCGGTAACCCTGAGCCACAGGGTTACAGCGTAGCGTCTCTTACCTTGTCCACGTTCCCCGCTGTGTCCTCCAGCCGATGCCGGCTTCCGGGTTCCGTCCCTTGCGAGTGTCTGCGTCGCAGGGGGGCGGAACCGGCGGGAATTTAAAAAAAAATAAGAAAAAACCCAAAAAACTAAAAAAAAAGATAGAACAAAAAAGGAAAAATAAAATAATCAGACTGCCAGGGAGGTTAATGTTCCTGTTAGAAGAATACCTTAAAGTAGTAATAAAGGCTCTTTTTTTGCACCTGAAGGCATTCTCTACATCAGGGTAAAAAACACCCCACTACTTTTCCATGCCCCCCACTTCCAAACCCTTACTTATAGTCCATGTTCACTGGCGCTGCTACCAGATGATCTGCACTGTTTCCCCGAAGTTCCGGGTTAAGAGGAAAGATCCTGAGGCCACTGAGAGCAGGGTAGTGATAGGGTGCTGCACCTGCCTATCAAATTACTGTGAGGAGGTGGGAACAAGGGTGTAGTTTGTTGAGAGTTGTGTGTGTGTCAGTGGACGCACACTACTCAGCTCAGTTCCTGGCCAGGAGCACGCATGGACAGGTGTCACCTATGCAACCTGCTAGGCAAAGGAGACACCCGTAAACAGGAGGGGAGGGTCCATGGTACATGAGCTGAAAAAATAAATGAAATGGGGCAATATAAAAAAAAAGCTTATTAAGTACAAGTGGATCGCCTCTGGTAAATAAAAAAAAAAATTATATCACTTTAAGTTTGATGGTCCACTGGATGTTACTTGCTCAATACATGGAATTTAGAATACAATACTGTGTGGATTGCTGTCTATTATGGCTGATACATTTCTTAATTGGGATGGCACTTGTTATCCACAAGCCCCAATTGAGTGGCGGCAGTGGCGCTTATTAGAGATTTGGTCCTGTTCTCACAGATATAATGAAGTCTCTGCTCCTTCATACCACACAGCTGGCACCACAAAACACCAGTAGATTGCAAAGAGTGTAAAAATATGTATACATAGGATTATCCTGTAAATTACTGATCAACCACCAGGGCTAAACGTTTGCGCTGTCTACTCTGGATTGCAGCCCAAATTGCTTAAAGACTGGCATCTGTTTTGTCCTATTACTCCTATCCAGTAAAAGAAGTCTCCAGGTAAAGTTCAATCTGAATGGACTTGATCTAATGATATTGGTGCTACGGGAATGCTGATTCTTTATAATACCAGATGCACCCACTAGATGGAACTGTTGTTTCACTTACCAGACTTGTTACCATACATTCTCGTCCATTACTTCCCAATTGAGCTAAAGCGGCACATGTTGGTTGCTGTTTTCTTGCGGCCTGTTTTTATATACTTTGTTCCATGCTTCTCTAACACTCACTCCATTTTTTTGTATGACAATAAAATCATGTGATCATCTCTTGGTCTCTGGATTGAAGTGTGCCCTTCGGCATGGTTCAGAAAAATCAAAGACTCTTTGGAATTTCTTCATGTGTCTCTGAACAGACTCCTGAGTTATCTTTGCCTGACTTCTCTTATACCATTGCAACAATGGTATAAGAGAATGGTGATTATAGTCATGTGTTTTTATGCCTCTGAAGCTAATCTCTATAAATGCAAGAGGCCTTAAAGGAGAACTATGAGGGGGGTGCTTTTCACTCACCTCATAGTTCTAGCCGACCTGTGACAATGAGACTGTCACAGGTCGGCTCAGTAGATCGGGAGGTAAGCGACTAGCGGATCGGATGGGGGAGGGGGCAGGTACAGCTGGCTCTGCCTCTAGATAGGCAGAGGCAGCTGTCACTCACGCAGCTGGGTGGATCCAGACATAATTGTCGGGATCCGCTTCAGCTGCGGCAGCCCAATATACCGCGCGCAGCAGCTCGCGGTATACTGTGGCGTCTCAGTATACCGCGAGCTACAGCTCGCGGTATACTGAGCCTAGGGTGACGGGAGGACGCTAGTTTGTGTCCTCCCGTTACCCTAAGGAGAACTATGGGGAAAAGCCTTAAGGCCGTGACACACTGCACGCGAAGCAGCGCGGAGCGGTGGCGCGCTGCCTTTGCGAGCAGTGTGTCATGTCACTTTCTTCTCGGCACCTCAGCTTGCGAGAGCTCGCAGAGCTGAGCGTGCCGAGATGAACAATTTCAACTTCAGCCAATCGGCTCGCGCGTATAAACCGGCGCGACGGGATGCGACGTCTGGCCGGTTGTTACAGACGAGCCGATTGGCTGAAGGTGCAGTCAATCATCTGACTGCACTCAGCTCACACACTGCACGCCAAGCTCCGTGCCGGATAGCTTTGCTTCGCTCTGCACGGCTTCGCGTGCAGTGTGTCACGGCCTTTAACCCCATAGTTCTCCTTTAATAGCCCATATAAGAGATCTGCATTGCTAAAAAGATTTTATCGGATGAAAGGCAATATCCTTTTTGTTCATTGCCCACACTGGTTACTCCTTAAAATCCCTTGTTACATCTCCAAAAGATAAGAGCTGATGTAGAGTATAAACTGGAAGTAAGGGAATTATTCTTACTCGTTATTGCCTTTCCAGGAATACTCAAAGTAATTTTTTTTAAAAATAATTTTGTTGGTCTTGTACCTTTTCTAGAGAACACTGAGGGGGTGTGCATTGGACAAGGCATTTTAAACGCTACTTCCTGGTTTACTTGGTAGGTAATTGCAATTTCTGTTATGGAAGGTTTTGGAGGATTACTCAGAAATCAGTTAAAGTTTTGCATTGAGTTTTCAGAAAGGAATAAATACTATTAGTGTAAGTTCAAGTCAACAGTTTACTTTAGAATAATACAATATCTCATCTACAGCAACTGCATCGTAACAATCAAATTGGTTAAACGAGTTTAAATTAAAACACATGAAACACAAGTCATAAAGATTTAAAAAATACTTATTACATACAGTATTCAACTTAATGACATAGAAAGTGTAAAATTATAGATGACATAAAATACACACAAAGACAGTTTGCTTCACTTTATTAAAGTAACTAGAAAACATGGTTTTAAGGTTGTTTTCAGCTTCACACAGATATCCTGCTGTTCCTTCCCCTTTGTGCAAGCACTAGTGTTCCCTAATACTTACATCTCTCTCATGTGGCCCTAGAGAAATATTTTTTTCCAATAACTCTGAGAATTGTAGGATCAGCTCTCCTCTTTTCCCAAAAAGATGTAATATCACCTAAGTCAATAAAAGGTCAAAGATTATCTGGGCTTGTACTGACTGAAATTAAATGGGCAGATCTGACGTCTAACACTGGTATTGCTGAAAGTTCTACATGTCTTTGACCACTCCAATCCATGACAGTTGGTCACTGACCAATGACTATAATGAAGAATAGTAATGAATGCAAAAAAATCATAATGGAGTTCCTTCATTTAGTTCAGAGTTTTGCAAATGACCAATCTACAGAGATTGGCAAGGAGACTGAATTTAGTAAACAGGAGGTTAAACATTGTCTTTGAAACCACAAAGATGGTAGCAGCTAAAACAGCATGTTGGTCTCAGCAGTAGTTCCACCCTATCTATATAAAATTCATGCCATTTAAAGCTACCAGTGTGCCACATGTCATATTACTAATCTCATAGTAAAACATAAAACAAATATACTCACTAGGATAGTTGACTGGCAGCAGAGCTCTCTGGAAATTTTTTTGAGTATCTATTAAAAAGGACCTAGCCCCCTTACTCCTTTTCTCCTATAGGTCAACCTTGGACACAGGTGCGATATCACAAAGATGCCCCCACTTACTCACCAACTACTACAAGGAGTGGAACAAACTTATAGCCAACACCAGAGTCAATAAATTGAGTTTTATAAATGTAAATGATTGCATAGTCTCCAAGATATGCCAAATCTTTGTCAGTATCCACCTTGGTCTCCAAATCTTGCTATTATTTCTTTATTGAATGGATTCTCCTTTCCAAAAAGTCCAGGCCATTTTTGCATTGCTTCTTCCCAGAATAGATCTGCTCCAACTGCAGAGGCAATCTATGGAACAAAACATATGCATATTTAAAGCAGTTGAAAATGAATACGTTCCATATGTACTATTAGGTTTAGATAGCGTTTCTGAATCTGCACTAGGAAGAGACGTTTTCAGCAGAAACTTACTGAGGGGAATTTATCAAAACTGGAGCAGACAAAATCTGGAGCAGTTGTGCACTAATCAGCTTCTCTCTTTCATTTTCAAATCTAAACTGAAGAGAGAAGCTGATTGCTTGCCATGCACAGCTGCTCCAGATTTTGCCTGCTCCAGTTTTGATTAATTCCCCCGCACTGTATTTCCTGACCCTACCCCTTTAAGCTAAAATGGAAGCTATTTCTACCATTAGAAACAATTATGCATTGCAGTTGAACACACATGAGGATTATAATATCACAATTTTCAGCCTTCTATGCAACTCAATAGTTTCTACTGAAAGCAATATATGGATTGAGACTTTTTATAGGTGTTCCATAATACCAGATAGATGTCTACAATATTATTGCACGAGTGGGAGTTTTAACAAAGTTCTTTTGGCAGTTTTAATTCTCAAACTGTACAGCAGTTTGGAAATTTTAAAAGTCAAGAAATTATATTTTTCCACTTGATGCAAAAAAGAAAAAAAATATAGAGCTGAAGATGTAACTGTACAGAACAGTCAAAATCAATGGAAAGGTAACATAGTTATAAATTACAGCAAAAACGAATACTGATTGTGTTCTTTGTAAAAGTAAACAAAAACAACTGACTACTGCAGATTTGAACAATACAAATTATGATCATTTGATATCATTGTTTAATATATTAATGATATTACTGTACAGTGAATTGTACATAACTTGGTGTTGTCTCATTTAGCGTTTGGGGGGTTTAACTTAAAAGTTGACCATTTACTACACACAGTGGATCAGAGTACAGATCTTTACACATGGCAAGTGGCTAGTCTTAGACATTGAGCAATTTGGTACCCAAATCGAATTCATGGCCACAAAAGAAATGTTCATATGATGGTGTAATTAAAGGATAACTGCACTTTTGGTACAATAACATGGCCTTTTAGACAATAAAAACCTCTATATTGGTCCCATCATGGGCTTTTTTTTCATCAGACCAGTGAGCTCTTCTTGTTCCAGAAGTACCTCTAACTAGTTGCTTCCCAATCTTAATGAGACACATCTAATGAGGCAGAACTAGTGCAGGTCACTTTTAAATGCAAGAGGAGGTAGATATGTGAACATTTCCTTACCTGACTAGGATGAAATCCATCCACTGGTTCCAGCAGCTGCCATGGCTTCCTTCCCAAACTTTCCCATTTTGCAGTCACTTAAGAAAAATCACATTTATGTAATAAATATTATTAATGAATTGTAATAAACATCCATGCTGTTTATTCTAAATACAGTTTAAATACAGTAAAAACTCGAATATTCTGTGTACAGTTTATTTATAGATGTAAAATGTTATACTTTCCAGAACTTAGAAATTAACCAGAGAGCGTGTTCCACTACTTTTGTACATGTTCCGTTATGAGTTAAGCCTACAAATAAACATCTGGAGAATGGAATTATATATATAGGGCTCATGTAAGTGTAATATATATTGCCACAGTCGCCTGTATTCACATCCAGGGGTGTACGGGACAGGGTGGCAATGATGGAGCACAACTGGGAGACAGCTGTCACCTGATAATTGGCAGGAGCACCGGTTATTTGTTTAATGAATGATGCAGCTTAAAATATTTTAAAAACAACTTTTGAAATTACTCTAACATTTATTTTACACTAACAAGATTTTATGGGATTTTAGTGAATGGGCTTAGATATACTTTAAGATGTGGGTTGTACTAATAATGGAACTTTTCACCTTAAATACTATCGGGGTTATTCACAAAACGGTGAAGAGTTTGGAGAAGGCAGGAGAAGTAAACAATCTAGGACAATATAACTGAACTGGAAAGTGAGCTGAATGGGAGAATTTTTCCAAATCAGCTATGTTGTCTTAGATCAGGGGTGCCCATTAGGTAGATTGTGACCTACCAGTAGCTGTCAAAGCTGATGCTGATAGATTACGAAGGGTGTGAATGGCGGCCCCTTTATTCCATTTTGGTATATTTATTTAGCTGTGCACACATGATTACCTATTAGCCTGAGTTTGCTGAGCCAAGTGTCCCTGACACCTTTCTGGTGCATACTGGTGGTTGAAGTGCTATGTATTACATCAAAGAATATTAGTTTATACAGCTTGTTGCAATGCCCTGTTTGCAAAATACAGCAAGGTGAGCCTGGAGGAGAGACAGCCAGCAGAGTGAGAGTGAGGAGAGACAGCCAGGAAAGAGAGCGGGGAGAAGCAGCCAGGAGACACAGCCAAGAGAGAGAGAGTGAGGGAGGTTTTTTTTTCGTGGTAGATCTCATGTAGCTCCTCATTTCAAAAGTAGATCTTAACACAAAAAATTGTGGGCACCCCTGTCCTAGATTGTTCACGTCTCCTGCCTTCTCCAAACTCTTCACCCTTTTGTGAATAACCCTGTATATATTTGCATTCATGCCCTTAAAATCTGCAGACACCTCTTTATTTTAATATGCAACTGGCACAGTGGGCTGTTATGTTGCTTCATAGGAAATAAGATCCATTTCTGAGGCAAAACTGCAAGACATTATCTTGATTAAAGGTATGTGTGCGAGGAAACCCAGCAAGCATAAATGACTGTAAAGTGATGGTAACACAATGCGCAATGCACTTCACAGTTATAGAAGACCAGAATACATTCTGGAACAGTGAAATATTTAATTTCCAGTTCTATGTCATTAATTCAGGCAGGATGCACACAATTATAAACAACCGGATGAAGGAGCAGAGCATGAAAGAATGCATTTGCACTGATGCTTATTTCTTCCTTTCTTTCTCGCACGCAGTCATCTTCTGCTTATATAACCGTAGCATTAAATGCAAATGTAATAACCTTAGAGGCTGGAAAAATAAAGAAAATCTCTATTTTGCAAAAATAGTTATGTATTATGACAGGGGGACATTGTGTGGGTGGAATGAAATATGATGGCATCTAACGGAAATGTTTGTAAATCGTTACACCGACAAGCTATATTCAAAAGACATAACAGACTCATATATCTGTCTGTCCTGGGGATAAAAGCTGCACATTTTATTAAAACACAAAGCATTTAAATAAAACCCACTAATGTGCAAGAGGTGGGTGAAATGAACAAGAGGAAAAAAGAAGACATAGCATTAAAGGGATATTACTGCATCTTGCTCTGCACATTTTATGAGGGTGGTGTTAAGGTGGACCTCTATGATTGCGACCATGGAACAAATTAAAATGACTAGCATTGTAATCTTTTTCTCCTAGGGTCATGTGATTATTTCAGTAAAAACGAATACTAGTATATGTTTTTCTAAGGCGTAATCTGTGTGCTTCGTATTCACAGCTTTTTTTTTGTTACTGTACAGACTGACAAATGCTTGCTTTTTTAACTAAAATTAGTCTTCTGACTCCTCTCAACATCCAATAGACCAGGGGTCTCAAACTCAATTCACTCATGGGCCACTCGACCAATGTTTTTCTCCCATGGGTGCTGCTCACCAAATTTCATACTTTAAAATAAAATGTAACTATATCCGGTTTGGTACTACGGACACTAATACACACACAATAAGGCCTTATTAATATCTGTAGTTTTAGGTGTGATTAGGGATTTCTGAGTAAGGAACATGCATTTTCCTGCAGCAAATGTAACTAATCTGGTGTTTACAAGCGGCAGCTGTCACCCATTCAAGTTAGTGATCAAGTGACAGCTGCTGCATGTAAACTCCTACACACTGCACGTAATGGTATGTGATATGATTACATTTGGCTAGGAATCAATCACTATCCCTGGACGCATTGATTGTGCATCCAGGGAGAGTGTTTTCTAACCGCATGTAATCATATCACATACCATTACGTGCAGTGTGTAGGAGTTTACATGCAGCAGCTGTCACTTGATCACTAACTTGAATGGGTGACAGCTGCCGCTTGTAAATGCCAGATTAGGGATTCCTGCTGCAGGAAAACGCAAGTTCCTGACGCAGGGATCCCTAATTGCACCTAAAAATACAGGTGTGAATGGAGCCTAATACACTCCCCCCTATACACATAAGAAAATACTACCCCTGCACATATAAAAAAAATACCCCCCACACACATAAAGAAATAACCACACACACACACAAAGCGGGCAAAAATGTATGTGTGTCTTATGGAGCGAATGTGTGATAGCTGAGGCGGCGGGGCTGACAGTGTACCCGGGGGTGTGGAATTCCTATCGCCCGACGCCCAGGACATGCAGTTTCGGGTGACGGGCTAGTAGTTTTTTTGTACATTTAGCGCTGCTGCGGACAAGCAGAGCGAAATGTATAGTATGGAGCCGCCGCTCGTTTTCATACAAGTGATCTGACGTGTAGCTGCTCCTGCAAGTCTGGTACACGGTCCGTGACCGCATACCTGACTTGTGAGCTGGCTGCGGGCCACATAGTACCGACTCGCGGGCCGCAATTGGTCCGCAGGCCAGTACTTTGAGACCACTGCAATAGACCATTTTGCTGAATCCATCCACTAATGTCCATGGAGGACAAGAGAGGGACACAAAATGTAAAAAAAATGACCACATGTTGTAGATTTTGAAGTAGGGTTGCCACCTGTCCTGGATTCACTTGGACAGTCCGGGATTTGAGTGCTGTGTCCAGGTTTCAAGGTAGCTGAAACCTGGACACAAGATGTCGGGCAGATAGGGCCAACCAAAATTAGGATTGGGGCAACTAGCCCCCCACTTAAAATAGGCTTGACTGTGATATTTACATATGAATGGGCCGACTATTTACATATGAGTAAGCAGCAACTCATTCATATGTAAATTAAATTCTGGCAGTATCTTTGTGCGGAAAAGGTATTTCAGCTGCTCTTCTTTTTCTACTGTAATCCAACAAATATTGCATCTATGCTAATTTAGAAATCTTAATCATTTTATGGTAATTGCCGGTCAGTGAGAATACCTGTTACATTGCTTGCCAGTGTGAATACCTCTGTTACATTGGCGGTCACTGAGAATACAGTCAGTGTAAGGCCTCCTGATTAATTCTATCCTCGCTCCCTCTCCTCCTCTCACTCTCTCTTGGCCGTCTTTTCTCTCTCCCCTGGCTGTCTTTCCTCGCTCTCTTTCCTGACTGTCCCTACTCTTCTGGCTTTCTCTCCTTTCTCTCTCTCTCTCCTGGCTGTCTATCTTCTCTCTCTCTCTTTCTCTCTCTCTCTCTCCTAGCTGTCTCTCCTCGCTCTCAGAGTGTTAGGATTTTGCTTAAAAAAAGGTGGCAACCCTATTTTGAGGCCTTGTGCTGCCACCTTTATCCGACTGACTAAAGAACTGGTCTATGAGTGTCACTGTGGTAAATACAGCCCTGAATATCTGAGGGGTTGAAATCTTAAAATACTTTTAATGCAAGTTGAAAAAAATAATATTAATGCTGAGCTATAGGTATAAAAGAGAGCTAAATCACTAGGTCTTGACAAAAGTGTGGACACTACCATCACTAGCCTTCTTTTGAAAGTGCTAGATGCCCTATTTGACTATCTGTATCTGACAGTAAGTGTGACATCTGAAGTAAGTTTGAGGCATAGACAAGCATGCTGTAAATGAGTTTTAGAAAGTATCAGAATTCCTTAACTCAATACCTGTTCCAGGTCAGCCACTTAGATAGTACTGAAGGCAAAGCATCAGTATGACAGCCCAAGAACAAGCATTCGTAACAGTAGAGATTAGTAATGGCAGCCTAAATTATTATCTTATGACTGAGTCCATTTAAAAAAAATGCACCCTAAGTATTAAAAAAGCAATGGGTCTCATGTATAAGTATTTAGGCTATTCTGCTTCATGAAAATCAAATCTACCATTTAAAATATTAAGGAATAAACAAGAGAATCTGATTGGCTGCTGTGAAACAGACAGAGATGTTTCCCCTTTTGATTCTTTCCTAAATGAGCCATAGAGATTTCCAACACATTTGGCTCTTCATTGACAAACCTGTTATTGTGGGTGGATGCAAAACAGTATTTTGTTCTATTCTTTCATGCTTACATGAGTAATGAATGAAATCATAAAGCAACCTTCCTTTTCCGATAAAAATGTTCCACCCTACATTCACGCCTCTGTATCCTTTCCAGAAATGCAGGTCTGCAAACAAGCACTTAAAGCTATAACAAAGTCAATGGATGCCTTACCTTTCTGATATAAATCTTCATAGTAATTAACCTCAAAATGAGTGAACTTTTCTGAAGCTGTTATGTCTTGAAGGACTTCGGAAAGCTGTTCAGCTCTCTACAGAAGAAAATGAAGAAAAAAAACCAACACATAACACGTAAGATATGCAGCAGAAATTCTATACTCAACAATCACATAGACAAGATTGCATAATCAAAAGCTTATTTATTTTGCCTTTCAGCTATAGACCTTAGTATTATGTCATGCTTTATAATCTGGACATAGTACATTAAAGGACATCAAATGGATATAGGCATTATTTGTTTTTAATGTCAAATTCCTTTTCCAGCAAACTGTACTACTACTATCCATACTACATTGAATAATTAATATTTTCAGCACAACAGTTTTCAAACTTTTCCTCTTAAAAACAAAAATGCTGTATCTTATAGGAATCATGAATAGGATCATTATGTGGGCGCTGTTTTAAATTTAAGCTACAGATCATATCACAGAGGCAAAAACATTTTATGTTGCTGATCAGTGTCGTTCAGTAACCAGTAGATGTGGATCCTCTGGCATGCTGCATGCAGTTGTACAACTCTCATCTATTAGTGTACTGTATGTAGCCAATGTATGACTAGTTCTACAGCCACTTTTGTAAACACACTTTTTACCTTCCTATATTTAGCCATTCTGCTGGTTTGTTGTTAACTTTAAACTGCTGAGATCTAAAAAAGTAAAATCAGATGTAAAATAACTGTTCTACTTATGTGTTCCTTTGCACACACTACAGCCCATGCATATGAAAAAAGAGGTCAGGTTTCCACGAGGCACAAATCACAGACTAAAGAGACTTTGTGGATTTTGTGTTGCCCCAATCTATTTTAGAAGCACAAAACCTTTAACAATCTTTTTATAAATAGTAAAGTTTCTATTAGTTATAAAGGTGAAAAGTGCTGATGTTTCTTAAACGGGTCCACTTATTGACTAATAGCAATTGGCAAGTGCATTGTGTGAGGCCAGTTGGGGTTTCATGTATGGCTCGCGTTATACACAAACACACAGACCTGGTGACCTTCTTAATTCCTGTTGTATGTGGGATTATGCCTTTCTTGGTACCTAGTGTAAGGTTATTACCTCAGTGGTTAGATTGCGGATTGTTTCATTTTTGTTCATCCAACCTACACAAGGGTTAATCTAAACATAAAGCAAATAATGATTTGATTAAAAACTGAAATCATAATTCTAAACTGGTTGACATTACATGTTAATAGAATAGTATGGACATGTATCTTCAAATGTCATTTCACTTAAAACAACATACATAGTAAATCGTTATCCTCTGAATGTCTTATTGAAAGGAAATTTAGGACTAAGTTTACACTACTCAAGCTACATCCCTTCACTTTGTGGAGTAGCAAAGGCCAATGAAAACCTTGCCATGTTGGTTATAATAGAACACATTTGGCGTTTTTTGATAGCATCACCTTATCTAACCTATACTGTTTAAATATAATCAAGAAGAATAAATATATGTGAAAAGGTCTTGCAGTTACAAGAATTCCAGAATGGTTTTGTTGACATAGACAACGTATCCAAGCTAACATAAGTCAAAACCTATCTGGTCCGCAAGACAGTTTGCATCTTCAGACAAAGTCAAATCGGTTTTAAATCGGCTGAACAAAACTAAAAAACTGACATTTTAACCCTGTAATAAAGAAAGAGTAAAAAAACATCAAAACCTTATATTAAATGTCACCTTTTAGATACAAATAAAAATAAATGCAGACTTCTTCATAAAGGGAAAAAACTTGGATTTAATATTTTTTTTGCATTGGAGCCAGTAAAGCATTGCAACCCCAATCTGTGGATCGCAGTTGCAATGCTCTGGCTCCTGCAGACTCTTCTTACCGTCCATGTCCATACCTCGGTACAGACATTCAGTAACATGGATGGGAGAAAAAATCAATAGACTACAAGTGTGGTGATGCCACCCTGAATATGGTGTAATATGAAACATGGTCATACTCACAGGGTTATTCTCTAAAGGGTGAAGACTTTGGAGAAGGCAGGAGAAGTGAACAATTGAGGCCAAAATAGCTGAACTGGAAAGTGAGCCGAATGGGAGAGTTTTTCCAAATCAGCTATGTTTTCCTAGATTGTTCCCTTCTCCTGCCTTCTCCAAACTCTTCACCCTTTTGTGAATAACCCTGTAAGCCTTTATATATCAAGAAATACAATAAATCTTTTCCAGATAATTCATCTTAATATTTTGATATTATGTACCTGTGTGACTACCTGTCATTTGATGTATTTAAAAGTATTATAATTTTTTTTTTTACCGAAAGGCAGCTCAGAAAATCGTAGAACTGTGCATATGTGACATCTTTGTTTAACTGTCCTGCATTAAGAAAAGAAGAACTTGAGATAATCATTTGACAATTGAAATTGTAGATGCATTACATATTTACAAATATACAATGATTTAGTTATATTATAAAGCCACTTAATATGAAGGTAAACAAGCATTGTCATGAATGATAATTACCAATGGGATGATATCTGTCATGTAAGGTATCCCAGAGGAACCGGCCATCAGCTAGTGACATTAAAATCACATGACTTCCATTTGGTAAAAGGGTATCTAAGTATAGAAGATCCTCCATGACATCGGCCTTCATCTTGGCAGGTGTAGTCATATGCTTAAGTGTATCTGCATGACTGGAACACAAGTAAAACTTTCTTTTTTGGTTGCTGTACAACTTAGATACTAAAAAGTCAAATAAATGCCATAATGACTCCCACCTGTACAATTATCATGTCAAGTAGCTCTTGCAGTACTAGTGTAGTTTTGGAGCTGCCTGCCATCAGTTTACATTATCCAGTTATAATTATAATAAAAGTAGCAAGCACAAACAAAATGCACATTACTCTAGGAACTGTCAATCAATGAGGACTGTAACTGCACCCATTGAACAATTTCAGTTCTCTCTTGTCCAGTCGCTGCCATGTCAAAACCACCTTGTGAAGGAAAGAGGCTCTAGCCCCTAATTCCACCTTGTCCTTGGGTAAGACCCAAGGACAAAGTTGCTAGCTCTGACACTAGTCTCGCAGAGGTGGTAGCAACAAGGAATGCAACGTTGTAAGTGAGAGTGGAAAGGGGAATATGCCTCATAGGTTCAAACGGTGGATTTTGAAGAGCTGGGAGAACCAGATTTAATTTCTATGAAACCACAGGTGGGCTCACAGTGGAAGCTACATGAGAGACACCTGGTACAAAAGTCTTGACTAAAGAATGGAAAGTTAGCGATATTTGGACTAGTACTCAACTGTGGCCCAAGCCTTTTTGTAGAAAAGTCAGGATTTGTCCCACAGAGTATTTTCTAGAATTGAAATGTCCTTACTCGCACCATGTGAAGTATGTCTTTTATGTGGTACATCTTTCAGAAAGTGTACTCCCTGGCTTTATCATTGTTGGAGTCAGGGAGGTCTCTGTTCTTTAGGACCTAAGCTTCATCAGCCAAACATGAAGCAGAATGGTAAATCAGATGAGGAAGAGCCCTTGGAGTGTCTGCCAAGAGTCTGACTAAGTCAGAGTACCACATTCGCCTGAGCCAATTCTGAGCTGTATGCATTACCAGAATGCCCTCCCTCTCAATCCTGTGGAGTAGATGAAGAAGGGGTTTTAGGGAAGAAAAGGTGAAGATCAGATTGTATTGCTCCCTCGGAGCCACCAGAGCATCCACTGCTTTCACCAGAGGATCTTTGCTCCTGGCTTACATTTGCACTTGCTTAAGTCTGTTGTTGTTGAATATGGAGGCCAGGAGGTCCACATCCATGTTTCCCACCTGTGACACAGGTTCTGACCCAGGACAGGTTTGTTTCTACTTCTCTTGTCATGGAAAAACTTTTGATTCCTCCCTGGAGATTGTGCGACTGGATCCTTATTGGAAGACATTCCAGTCGAGATGTCCAGAGTGGTAATGACAATCAAATTGCTCTTAGCTCCAGAATATGTATCAGTGACAGTAGCTAGAATTCCTCTTGCTTCCATGTCCCCTGCTCCAACAAGTTATCTAGAACTCCTTTCCCAACCTGTCAGGCTGGCATCCAAATGGGACTGATTGAACAAGGCTACCATCAACTCCAGGACATGCAGAGACAAAGTTGAAAGACTTTTGGATTGAAAAGTCTGAGGGTGGAGAGTTGGGCGTTTTGCTGGTTCAAGGATAACTCTGGCTTCAGTTGTATCCAGGTTCAGACTCAGCTATTCTAAGGGAGTTTGTTCCAGCACACACCTTTTTAGGGTCTGAACTGAACCACATTACATTGTTGTTCAAGACCTGTGCTGACTGTTCTCTCAACAGGAGGCTGTCCAAATACCTCACAATAAGGTTGCCCTGGGTGGTTAACAAGGCAATATCTGGAACTTTTATGATAAAGGAACTAGGATGATAACTCCTTGCTCCAAAAGACCTGCAGAAGCTACATGAAGGTCTGCTAATCTGAGCATTGACACAGGAAACTTGGAGGACGTGAAGTGTACTCTTACCCCCAATGACAGACTTGATGTCCAAGGAGGCTCCAAAAAGATCTTGTCCCTCAAAGGGCATGCACCGTAAATGCTTTTTACATGCCTATTTTCTGCAGTCCATCATTTCAAGCAGTTTTCCACATGTTAACTGAGACTAAAGGTGCACATACATTGTTGGAATTTCAGCTGGTTTTTGAGGAACCAGACAAAATTTACACAGTATGTGCCGTGTTGGCACCCTTTCAATCGGTATTCCTTGATCGAAGAAGCCGGTCAGAAAAATCTTTGGTCGCTCAGAGCTGGCAACTAATGAGCTACCCACTCTGGTTGGGTATTCTGACAGGTGCCGGCATCCACTGTATGTAAACTGCAGGGATTCCTTGATCGACATGCTGATAGTTTTGATGGACGAATCAGGTCTATTTTTTTTCCTGTTCATCCTGCGGGTTGAACGAAAAAAATAGACCAGTGTATGGCCAGCCTCAGACAGGAAATAAGTCAAGAGAGAGACACTAACCCATCTATGCAGTAGTGCAGGGCAGCTGGCATGAACTCTAATCACTTCACAAATTGAGAATTAGTGTAGAGTCAATCATGCCAGCTACTTCCATGGTTTGTGTAGGTTATTTATTGGGCCAATCCTTCAATCTTGTACACTTTTTCATTTCCATAACTTGTAACTGTTAAAATGACAGCAAATAAAGCTATATAAATGACTTTTTTCTTAGTTTCATAAATAAATAGTTACAATATGTTCTTAGTATGTAACATACGTATTGCAGACGTCATTGCCAATTAATCCATAAAAAACAGCCACAGGTTTGTCAATTTCTTGACTTCGTGCCAAACTGAAAAGCAAAACAAACAATGTTAGGTAAAATGAAAAAAATAAATGAGAAAATGATGAGACATACAAGCTTCATAAAGTGAGTAAACTCAGTACAGTTGTCTAAACTGGTCAATCCCTCACAGTTTTATGGTATGTCTAGATTTTTGAGCATCAAAAGAAGGGAGACTCATATTTGATAACCCAAATAAAGTTATATGGAAGATGCATTAGATGGATATGGGAAAGGGCTTAGTGTAGCCTGCAACTCTTAAACGTTGGGAGCTGTGCTTACAGTACTACAGTACACAGACATACTGGTTTGCTACAGTGCAATAAGATGTGCCAAATGGGAATTACCAGTTGGTATTTATATGAAAACATTTGCTGGCATTCTATGACAACTATAGTTAATGGCATATTTACAAAAGTTTACTGCATGTTCTATAATAATAGACTATAACTTCAATACAAAATAGTAAATTAAAGTGACATTAAACCCTCTGCTCTTCCTTTTAAATCTGTATCTGTTCTCATGCTGGGCAGAAGTTCTGTTTTGCAGCAGACTGCCTTGTCTCTAGAATGGATACATGGGGGTTGATTTACTAACCTTATAAACACACCATGAACATGTATACACCTCTGTAGTGTGTTCCCTCCCAGCATGATCTATGGGTGGAATCTAAACACCCAGCAGGTGTGTTGTGCAAAGCCCTGCATGAATTGCAAGGTGATTTTGTGTAAATTAGCTCTACATTGTGTTGCTTGCGTTGATGAATGCAGGAATGTAAATGCATGAGCTAACCATTTTTGTCTAAACTGTGAAGCAGCATTATATATGCATCATGTGCATGATTTTTCCATATATGGCATTAGTGGAAATATGCTTTTAGAGACTTTTTGGTTGATAAATACGCTTTGCTGTGTAAAAATCACACGCACCTAGTGCGTGCGTGTGTTTAGGTTAGTAAATCACCCCCATGGTGTCTGCGTGTAGGTTTGTAACCTGAGCCAGCACTACAGGAAGAGGCCCTGAGCTGCAAAGTGAAGTTCTCCCCAAGCATGAGAAGACACAAGGATTTAAAAGGAAGAGCAGCAAAGAGAAGGGAAACTACCATGGATTACAGTAAGGCACACATTACAGTATTCTGAGGGTTTAATGTCACTTTAAGTGTGAGAATTTAGTCCATCACGGGAGTGAGCTTGGAGCGGTGGCTTCTGTACATGGGATTTCTGAGATCAAGACAAATTCAGGCACTTGAGCATACATATAAATACTAGACCTATTTGAAATATATGTAATCATGTTTAGTAAATATATACCTGCATATATTGGTGTTTTTATATTTGCAAGGGATAGTATTAAGCACATTGAACATTCACACCATTGTGGTTAGTCAGAGCATACACGTTGACATGCGTTGCATTAAGGCAGCCCTTTGATTTGAATGGGCTGTCTAACGCACCAAAAAAGGGTGAATGTACCATTTCTGGCAGCGTGCTGCATTGGACTGCATGTCAGTGCATGTCTGTTGGCAGTGGGAATTGTGGTGCCATTCAGAATAAGTGACAATGGATTGCAGAAATGCATGGAGCATGTTGTTGTTTTTTAAATTTTATTTTAAGTAGAATTACCTTCTTAAATAACGCTTTAAATTGTCTGCTGAACCACCTGTCAAGAAACAGAGGATATTTTGAATACACATTAAATATTTTTAATCAGGTTATTTTGACTAGGAATCAAACCGGTTGCCCTACACATGGAAAGTAAACCACTGTATGATAATGAATTTAAAATGCTTGGAGGACTTAAAATGTGTATGGTTAAGACTCAATCACAGCAGAAAAACAAAATAAAAAAATCAAACAAAAATATGACCAGATGGCATCTGACATGACATCATGACATTTCTGACAGGCAAGCCTTTCAACTACTAACCAGTAGATGTAAGAGTTATCATTGGATGGTCAGACTATAAACCTAAAATTGGTTACATTGAGAATATCAAAAATACCTCTATGGGCATCCGTTGGAGTGGCGATCATGCAGTATAATCAGATGATAGCTCAGCAGTGACACTGACTGTTCTTCTGTTATATGACTAGGAAATATTTTCACAATGGCACAGTATGCCCCCCCTGGGGTATTTGAAAGACCACATCTGCTTATTGCTGCAATTTTACTGAGAGCAAATGGTTGTTATACCAATTTTACCCTGCTTGATTAACTCACCAAGACTTAACTCAGTTTTTAGTTAGAAGTAGAATCAAGCACAGTATTAACCTTTTTAATAGTAACCATGACCTTTTAAATAAGTATTCCTTAATGATAGATCTGGGACATGATTTACTGGAACCTACCAATGGCAGTGGCTCAATCCACACTTATGTGGTTCATTTAGGAGTGATTTTTGTCAGGGTTGCTAGCTGATCCAATTCTCCTTATCCCCACCCATCAAGCCACCCATTTTCCAATTTCCTATCCTTCTCCTTAGATTGTATTTATCTTCTATGCAAACAAAATAAACCCTTACTTTAGAGATTTAATTGTCCATCATTAAAATCAAGGTATCCCAAACAAAGCACATTCTAAGCAACAATACACAGCAGGTAAAAAGTGGCAGATTTTCTGCGTGATTTAATTCACTGGCATGTACTTCATCAGGACAATGTGAACTCAGAATGCGTTATAGTTGCATTAGTCAGGCCAATAACACCTATGTTCATCAAGTTCTACCTTCAACCACCATGTTGTTACATTGATATAAATAGATGCTGAACTCATGTAATCAATCATATAGTTAATAGGATTAAAACATCAAACACCATAAAAAAAATCAAAAGATACACTGGAACAGAAATCTGTGAGAGAAACATAAAAGGCTACAAAATCAAATGAAGAGTTTAAATCAATATCCACATCAGGAGGTGGCAGAGCTTTTAATCTGTGAATCCACATTAACTCTTCATTTAACACCTGCATATTATTCTGCATGTCCTGGGAAATTCTATCAAACTTTCAATTTTATATATAAAATTTTTTTAAAAAAGGAATTGATAAATAAAATGACTGCCAATGTTGGATTTAAGTATTTATGGTCCTTTTGTGCTGTAGCAAAAGTAGACTGCCAAAGGCTGTGGGCTAGATTTGAACAAGAGCTCCAAACTATATACATTGCTGAAATACATAAATGTTTATTGCCTTACCTACAAATGTATTTATAATTGTGTTCAGCCATTCCTTTGATTTACATGTCTTTCCCGCACTGTGACATGCTTACTTTAACCTGGTAGAGCATGGCAGTGTTTCATGTCACATTTTCTTACTGGGGAATGGATCAGCATCATCACTTCTCCTAAAGAGCAGGGGAAGTTACCCATGAAGTAGTAGACTGAATGTGCTGTGCAGTGTGGCAGTCTAGATAGTTTAATTGGAGCTTCTC